TACTTCGGAATATGACAGTTTAGAGAAAATTGCAAAGAGATATTAGGCATACTTCATTTGGCTGTCATTCATTTACTAATTAAGGTAATAACTTGATTTTTTCGGTAACGGCAAACGAAAAACAAATATTTTTTAATGTATTTGAAGAATGTTAGAAAACATTGCAATTTCAATAAAAACAGCATCGAAAATGTTGTTTTGTCTTAATAAATTTAAGATTTTGCTAGGTAAAAATGCCGTATGTGCAGTATGTGCTACATTTTCAATAGAAATTAATAGAAGAACCAAAACATGTACATCCTATACATGATATTTTGGATGTTCTTAAAGGGTTTTTTTTACTAATTTTTGATATATTGTGTTGCAAATAATATTTAATTGTTGTTTAATTTAAAACAACGCATGTAAACACATACGAGTTTAATTTGTTAAAAACATCGATTTCAACGCTTCTGCTAGAGAAGAAAGCCGTATGTGGTCACATCCGGCGTTTATACTATGTACAATGAAGGGCAACTTAAAGTCCCCACTAGTTGGGTCGCTCTCATTCTATCGCGCCCCACCACAAATAATTACGGAATGTTTCGGACTGGGAGTGCGGTATGGAGATATACTACACCGTGGCACCAAAAACTCTGATATATTCGATAGGGTAAATAATTAATCTGATACCAGTTGCATTTGATATTTTTTAAAATATTATTTTATTAATGATANCCGTTTCACGAAAAACATTAACACAACGCTGAACTGCACTTTGAAAAATTTTGTACTCAACAACGCCGGGAAATTGATTTTGAAATTCTATGAAACATTCCTCAATAGAATACTTCCATATTCCATCAATCTTGCGTCCATTTCTAAAGTAGGACTCTATGATAAACACTTTTTGTTCTTGAGAAAACACCATTTTAAACGCTTTTTAAAACGAAAATATTCAAATTGATAGCGGCGATATAGCGCTTTGACAGATGACGTTTAAGTTCATTTGCTATACGCTACGCCCTACGTCCAAATTTTCAGAACCAACTTGACCACGTTTTTATTTGAACGCTCGTTAGATATGTACATAGGTTTAGTTTGTTGACAATATATTTTCTATATTTGACCTTGAACTGACTTTAAACCAAAGCTAATCGCGTCAAACGGACACCGGAATTGGATTCGGCGATCTCAAAAACGTATAGATACATAGGTTCAGTTTGTTGACAATTGATTTTCTACATTTGACCTTGAATTGACCTTAAACCAGGGCTAATTGTGTCAGACGGACACCGGATTCGGATTCAGCGACCCCAAAACCATATGTATACCATGGGTCTTGTCTTTCGGACCTGCCACTTTTTTTTTGTGGGGCTGTGTAATGCTTTTCATCAGATTCAAGTAACAATAAATTTCGAACAAATTACATTTTACATTACATTTTCGTTACTAAAAAGATGACGGGCCGGTGTTCGTGGAAATGGAGGTATTTTTGAGCATTTACTCAAATAAAATCATTAAAATGATGACTAATGTTATTAATTTCTTTATTCGAATAAATAACCGAATGATTAGTCCTTATCGTGTCATTTAAGTAAAAGTGTTTCAGGTGGTTTTTTAAGTTTTACTCGAAAATCAGACTTTTCAAAAAACATAAGCGAGTAGTAATTTGTAGAAAATTGAAAGACGAATCTGAAAATATTATAATTGTTACTGTAAAATAGTAGGAATAGTTAGGAGGTAAACATATTAAAAGTTTCCGCCCTTGGGAGCTGAGCTAAAGGCAGGAGGGGGTGGAAAAGTAGTTTTTTGGCTTATATCTCGAAATCGGTACACTGTGGAAAAAATAATCCTAATAAAAATGAAAGTTAATTAAATTTCCTATAGTATTGTTTCTTTACATGTCTGCCGAATTCCCAACGGTTTTCGAGATATACGTTATTGGAAATTGATAATTTTCGAAAAAATCATTTTTACCTCTCTTTTTGAGCGGGGACTTTTAGTATGTTTACCTCCTAAATATTTCTAACAGTCATGAAGTAAAAAATTCTTCTTCATATTTCATACACTCTACACTCCTCTTTTGAACATTCATTGACTGGATTATTCACAATTTTCATTCAACGCAGGATTTCAATTTTAAACAGTTTTTAACACAATAATTGATCAAGAAATTTATTAATATACTGTCACATTACTTTCTACTAAATATCTAGTGATTTAGTAAATCACTTTGTAGATTAAATTAAAAAAAAATCATCTGCTAGCGACCCGATTAATATGTTTAATATGGCTCTCAAAATACACACTATAGTTATCACTTAAAAAGTCACTAAAAATTTAAAAATAAACTGTAGGTAACTAGTTATGTTTTTTAATTTTTCTATCAAATTTTTGGAAAATTTGTGTATAACTTACAGAAATATAGTTTGGTCAATTTTTTTTACCATTAATAATTCGTTGATATATCTTTGATTCCTATTTTTTGTTAGACAACCGGCATAAAAGAGTTCTTTTTTATATTACATATACTGTGTGATCTATTTTAAATATTTTAAAATACATCGTAAAAGAGGTATTTATTGTCTAGATTGCTTTTTTTTGTTTCTTGAGAAATAGAGCTTTCAAAACTATTACCTACGTCACGTGATATTTGAATTTATTTTCGGTTATAAAAACCGCCAAATTTGGCAAAAATTGGTCAGCATTTTTATTTAAAATTTGTCATCGGCATTGGATTCTGTACCCCCTGAATTGAGTTTGTAGTGAGTTTAAATAACTGGAAATTTCGTGACAAAATGCTCATTGCCAATTGTAATATTAGTAAGGACAGAAATGATAAAAACATTTCTGTTATTTCTAAACAGAATTAAACAATAATGTTTAAATATATGTATTTATGAATAACAAAAAATTATAAATACTTAACGAAAACATGGACAAAATTTGAAGCATCAGTCTTCAATTATATAATTATAGCCATTGATAATAACAGAAAGTTTATTTATAGAAGATAAGAAGAACATTTAGAAAAACTTGGTATTCTTATTTATTTTCATTAACTGCTGTTTTAATATAATTTGTCAATTAAAAATTTGTTCGTTTACTACTTAATGTGTAATTTATATGTGCAGCTAAATATTTTTTTAGATAGATGTAAATTACCTATATTTCTTAAATCAACAAAACCACTCTGCTCAGTCGCACCAACACAACGTTGGTTTTATGATCAGAAGCAAAACGATTGTGTCCAACACGAGTATTCTGGTTGTTTTGGTAATACAAACAGATTTTTAACTAAAAAGGAATGTGAAGAATGTATAACGCCCACTAATGAAGCAATGCTGCACGGTAAGTAACGTTAATTTTTTTTCTTTATTTTTTAGGTATTTGGACATTTGAAAAAAATTTAAGTAAGTCAATTTGGCTCTATCAAACAAATATTTAACTACACCTTTCTTTATATCAGCTGTGCATGGAAACAGACAAAAGCAAACAATTTTATCAAAGCATCTAAAATGAGAAGTCAAAAAAGTTCAGCAGACGAAAACGTTAGCTACTTTTTGTGATTATTTCCGTGTAAGATATTTTGGTTAGGCAAAACTATTTTCATAACTGATTCTTTTGGTACAATGGTTTATTTCACTAATTTTTGATATGATGATAAAGTTTTCAACAAAATTCATAACTTTTATACTGGGTGATTTTTAAAATAACGTCGAGACAGGTCAATTTTGTTCTCGGGAAGGGCATATTTTAAGATGATTCATTTGTGACCCAGAAAAACTGGACGGCCAACAGACTTGTTTTTTCTTATGGAATACGCTGGATATTTTCATATTCGGATAAAGCTTTCTCTTACGAATATAGTGATATAAGGTTTGATGGGTCTATCTCAAATAACAAGCGAGATATTGCGAGAAAATGACATTTATTTCAAAAAAATTATTTAATCTCATTTTTCATAAAAGAAATTGTACTTGGAAACGAAACAAATGCAAATAATTAACGAAAAAAAAACGAAAAAGTTTGCAAGTTTAGCAATAAAAATTAGGGTTCCTTTGTTGGCACTCAGCTCACTGATAAAAATGATTAAATTTCGGTTTTTGGTCGTTGCTTAGAAACACAAACACCACTGTTGTAGCTTAACATTTTCACAAATTATCCATCAACAATACAACTGAAACTACACAATAATGTGGACCAATCATATGTTGTAAAATTGCTTCGTACAGAAAAGTCTCATACCAGCTGATACGCGAATTAAATGAGGATGACCCAAACCGCCGGTTGCACTTTTGTGAACAATTAATGTTAGAGTGTGATGAAAATTCAAACTTTCAACATATTTTTTTCTGACGAGGCCACATCGCCATAATTGCAGGTATTAGTCAAATGACAATCCCCATTGGGCGTAAGAATTCCACAGTGAGCGTAAAGGCAAATTAAATGTATGGGTGGGAATCATAGTAAGGCGATATTTAGGTCCTTACTTTTTTGAAGAAAACCTCACCGATGTTCTTTTCCCCAACGCTGCAGGCGGCGATATACCCCATGAAAATATTTGGTTTCAACAAGATGGAGCTCCACCTCACTTTGGCTTAGAGGTTCGGCAACATCTTGATGATACATGTCCTAAAGATGGATAGGGCGGAGAGGATCTCTTGAGTGGCCCCCGCGTTCCCCCGACTTGACTCCTCTAGATTTTTTTCTATGGGGTTATTTAAACTCTAGGGTATACTTCAATCGACCAAACAATTTAGCAGACTTACAACTGGGAATTCGTGCTGAAATGGAAAGAATCAGCCCAGAAATTATTGATCGTAGTGTGCAAAGTATTTACACTCGCGCGGGCCAGTGCCAAATTGTTGGTGGAGGGCAATTTGAAAATTTACGTTAAATTTCGTTAATTATTTGCATTTATTTCGTTTCCAAGTACAATTTATTTTATGAAAAATGACATTAAATCATTATTTGAAATAAATGTCATTTTCTCGCAATATCTCGCTTGTTATTTGAGATAGACCCATCAAACTAACGTCACTGTATTCGTAAGAGAAAGCTTTATCCGAATATGAAAAAATATACAGGGTGTTCCATAAGAAAAAACAAATTTTTGGCCGTCCAGATTTTCAACAACTGAATCATCTTAAAAAATGCCCCTCCCGAGAACCAGTCGACCTGTCTCGACGTATTTTTAAAAATCACTCAGTATAGATGTTATGAATTTTGTTCCAAAGTTTATCATCACGCTGTACATATATACATAATCAGATATCTTCAATATTAATATATTATGCATATTCTATGATTTGATTTAATTTTTGTTTTCAGAATCCTGTTTGTTAAAAATTGAAATGGGGACTTGCACGAACTATACCTCCAAATGGGCATTCAACAAGACCGAGGGCCGTTGCACACATTTGTGGTATGGAGGATGCGGTGGAAACGCTAATGCGTTTGATTCCGTTGAGAGTTGTAAGCGAGTGTGTGTAAATCCTTCTGAAATAGGTATGCAAATATTATATTGCACATTGAGGATATTGAAGATATTTTTATAATAATAAATTATAATGATTATACAAACAGGATGATGTATTTGAATGTGGAAAAGTAAACTGGATGAATATCCTGACTATTCATAAGTGCAAAAAGAAATGCAACAAAAAAATACATACCTACGTAAGGGTCTCATTTGTATGTATCGCCTTGAATATCGTCAAAAGAGTATATAAAAGAGGCACATTAATAAAAATTATATTAGGACACCGTTTCATTTGAAAAAATAATTGACAATTGTCAGCTACTGAGGTAGGCCTTCAAAATGATGATAGTGTGTTTATGTCTGTAGTATTTACGGAATCATTAAAGTTAATCTTTTCAATTTTAAAATAATGGCTGCGTTAAAACTTATAGATATCTATAATATTTATTTATATTTTCCTATATATGGCACCAAAGGTAATGTCAAAATATTCTTGAGGAATGGATGTTGCCATTGTTACACTTTTGCATCACAATCTATACAGTGTATTTCAGTTCGATTGAAATAATTCAGAATTGCCAGAAAGCAAGGCTCTAAGTCTCATCGTTTTCACTGTTTTCACAGGACCATATTGGTCGGTTGTTAAAATCATATTATTTACAAAATCTTTGGTATGCTTATAACAAATTGATTCAAATTTGGTGTGGGGTTAACATTTACACATTTACATAATTTACTGTAAAATTTTTGTAGGTCAGTGGCGTAGGAATGGGTAGTAAAGTGGGATTTTTTTAGCCCAACTTCTACGCCAATGACCTAATAATCATTTGGGATTCATTTTTAGATTCCGTGGACAAATTTATCGAAATTGCGAATTTATTTCATTATTATCGCCACAATATTTTCATCTAGTTGTAGTTTTATAACAGAATTATATCATTTTAAGGGCGTTTGTTAAATTTGACATGGTTTTTAATCTTCCTCAAATGTACTTACCTTCATTAAGTTCAAAGGTAATTGTAGTATTTTACACTGCGTTAATGGCCGACATCAAGTTATCTATTTTAAATTTAATTTTATTGTATTTATTCTTTCAAATGAATTAACAGCCATATTAACGTATGACATTTTCGAGCTTACAAACTTTTATTTACAAAAAAAAAGAAACAGTAAATATTAATTCCACGTTAGTGCAATATTAAAACGATGACATATTTCTGTACATTTTCTTTACACACTTTAAAGTTATCTCTAGTTAGTTATGTGAAAAATTAAGATTTAATCTGGTGTAACAATAGTATCATTTACAATATTTTATCTAGCTTCACGATTTCTTGAAACATAATCACATTTCGATATTGTTTTTTAAAGTTCGGTTTCTCTAGAATATATTTTAATATATATTTTTATTTATTTCAGATCCACGTTAAGATGATGTATCAACAAAAATAAGCGCTGCACTTGGTATTTCTTTAAGTGGAACTTTTTTTGTATTTTAGTAAAAATAATATAATAAATTTCACATTAAAATAATTTGTTTGTTCTTCTTGCACAAATTACTGTCATTAAAACTTCATAGTATTCCATAATAGTCCATCTACAATATTTTGAATATTTTATAAGGAACATCAAAAACACAAAATGTTTCTTAAAAAGTTCCATACCCTTCGTTTATTGTTGACGATTTTGCACGTCTTTTAAAATTGTCAGATAAAATTATTACAAAACGTCGTGTGTCGGTAAAAGTCGACATATGTATTTGCCCGTTAGTTTTCGTCGGTCTACTTCACTTTTGTGTCAATTTTTTGCTTGTTTTACCCGATAAGTAAAGTCATCGAAAATGAACGAGGTTTATGGAACCTTTGCAGCCTTTTTAAGACAAGTAAACTATTTTTTCAAATGCTTCCAAATTCAACATAAAATAACTCTAAGTGTTTGTTAACCTCTTCAGATTTCTTAAAAAAATTAGATTAATCTAGCAGTATTTAACATTGTCTGGTTACGACATAGCCGTTTTAACGTTTCAAGAGACTTCTCTTATTCGGAAGTATCTTTGAAACTAAAGATCAAGTTCTTAGGTCAGTAATCCACAACACTCAAACCTAGTGACCCATTGTGCACATCATTAACAATTTCGCTATGTCAAGTGCGTGTCTTTATATTAACAATATTTAGACATAATTTTTTATTTTTATTATTGGATAATTTACTAGACATTGCTGGTAATTCAATACTATAGTAGTTTGGGGTATACTCCATAGAATAGTTATTTCCTGCAATATTAGGAGTTAGGAATCTTGTCTGTCAGGTGAGATATCTTTTGCAACGTACCTAGTTTTTTTGGTAGAGGAAAGTTTTTAGTTTTACTTGAACTGATGTCTGTTATGTAAACAGCTGAGGCAAAATACCAGATGTTTGTTAACTGAAATATCGTGATCTATATGTCAATGTGTGTTAACAGTATACAAAGTACAGATAATTAAGATACTTTAACAAAATTGCTAATTATAGTGACAGACCGATAATTTTCAACACAAAATTTCTCACCTTTTTCCAAGAATGTGGGCAAGGTTGTAATGATAGACAGACAAAACTGTGCCAAGTTCACCTGCTTCGCAATAACCGCTTCAGAAGTGCTTTTCTGCTGCAAAGGTTGTTAACGTCCATCATGCTATTGTACATATTTTCGTAATAACTAACGAGTGATTATCAGTTGAGTATCAATTTTTATTTATAATAATAAAAATATAATTAAATTCATTCATTATGAGCAACAATATATTTGTCGTAACCTAGACTGCTTTTGTGATGTTATAATATCGAGATTATGTTGTGGCAGATAATTCTCAAGAAATCTATGGGGTTATGATGCAATGAGATCATAATTTCCAATGCTTTTTTTCTGTCATTGATTGCTCAAGTTGGTTTAAAATCTCGAAAACTGCTTTGTGGAGGAGTTTCTTGATGTTAGGGTCAAAATATTATGGGTACACCACTGGCCTGCTCACATTAAAAAAATACAAGAAATGAATTCAGTATAATATCATTTTATGATAACTCTGCAAAAATTAAACGCCACCATGCAACGCAGTGTTTTTCCTGCAAAAATAACTTTAAACGTGACAGGCATCAAAGTTCACATACATAATTTCGTTTTCTTTTAGAAAGTGTTCGCTTATCACAATATATTTATATTTTCATTAGGCAGTAGAAGTTCAGTTCCTGCCAGTATATTTTTATTTTTTATGGAATACAGTAAACTGGTTAGCTTTGTTATTTTTTGATTACACAGTCCCACAAAAAAAGTGCGAGGTCCGAAAGACAAGACCATGGGTAGCTATATGTTTTTGAGGTCGATGAATCAGAATCCAGTGTGTGTTTGACCCGATTAGCTCTGGTTGAAGGTTAGCTCAAGGTCACACGTAGAGAATCAATTGCCAACAAAGTAAATCTACATATCTACATATACGTTTTTGGCATTGGTGAATCCAAATCCGGTGTTCGTTTGATTCGATCAGATCTGCGTTAAGGTTAGTTTAAAGTCAAATGTAGGGAATCAGTTGCCAGCAATGTAAACCAATGTATAGACGTTTTTGGGGTCGGTGAGTCTGAATCTGTTGTCTATTTGATCCGATCAGGTCTGCGTTAAGGTCAGTTCAAGGTCAACTGTAGCGAATCAATTGCGAAGAGAGTAAACCAATGTATTTATACGTTTTTGGGGTCGCTGAACACGAATCCGTTTGACCTGATCACGACTGTTAAATACTCTCAAGTTCTAAACTCAAAATACTCATTTATGCGTATTAAAATTTGAGTAACAAATAAGATTAAAGAAATAAAACTTTAACTCTGAGTTAATTGTTTTCACATGACAAAATTCTAGTATCAGTAAGCCAAATTATGTAAGCTTTAAACCAATATGTCCGTTAATGCTTCATGCACATTAATTTACATAGCGAGTCCGTGTCGGTTGAGATTCTTGAGAAGAGCTTTTCAAGATAAGAGATTTTTTGCCTTGATGTATCATATGAAATCACTACATCTCACTATTAAGATATCGAGACTCACTTTTATGGTATCCAACTATTTTGGTGTCAAAAGATCTGCGAAGTTGATTTCTTTTACGTTTTCTCAATTTCAATGGTAAATCTTATTTTAACGACCAGCAGTAATCGGCTAACATGTTTATATTCCATCTGCCTTGGTACCAACGCTCCGTTAACTTAATATCTTTTTAAATCTTTCTCACTTGAGTGTTTTGAGTTTATAACTTGAGAGAATCTAGCACACCTGATCAGGTCCCAAACAGACACCGAAATTCGGATTCAGCTACCCCAAAAACATACAGATGGGTTTACTTTGTTGGCAATTGATTTTATACATTTAACTTTGAACTGACCTTTAACCAGATCCCAAAAACGTATAGATACATTGGTTTACATTGCTGGCAATGGATTCCCTACATTTGACCTTGAACTGACTTTAACCCAGATCGGATCGGGTCAAATGGATGCCGGATTCGAATTATGCGATTCCATAAACGTGTAGATATGTAGGTTTACTTTGTTGGCAATTGATTCTCTACATTTGACCTTGAACTGACCTGCAACCAAAGCTAATTGGGCCAAACGGCCACCTGATTCGGATTCAGCGACCCCCAAATCATATGGCTACCATGGTCTTATCTTTCGGACCTTCCACTTTTTTTTTGTAGGGCTGTTATTAACTCGGGAATAATGGGAAGAACAGGCATTTGTACCGAAATCCCCATGTATTGCATGCGGTGCTGGGACTCTTGTCTCCTGCTCGCCGGCAAAGGGGCAAATGGGGTGTTCGGACACCTCCCTCATCACGCTAGCCTTAACGGACGATTGGGGGTGTGAACATCGCGCTGGCCGATAGATCGCTATCGGAAACGAGATGGATTCCTAGAAATGTGGGAAACGATCTAATTTATTTTGCTGCCTTTGTCCACTTTGGGACACCCTCGGGGTGGTACTATTTCCTGGAGGTTTTCAACCGAGTCTGTTGCACTTAATGTTTTTTTGGCGAGTATGGTTACTATACACTGACTTTCTAGGCTTTGCTTTGCTTAGCACTGATATTGAGGCCTCCTATGGGTACCCATTTTGGGCTCTAGGAGGATTTTATCCCTTGGGATCTTCAGTGCAGGATTGGACAATGCCTGGGCGGATGGGACACTAGAACTAGAATTTTTGATATAATTCAATTTAAAATTGGATTGATTAAAAAACCATATATTTGTAACAAGCGGCTATTTGATTATTGATCTCCAGAGGTTTTATATAATGCTTTCTTCTTCATGTGGGAGGTAGTTTGGGTCCTTTTGGAGACGGCTTCGTGGTTCCGATTGAAAAGTTGAGCGAAAATTTGAAATCTACTCTGAACTTGGAACACGACAGAACAAATTACGGCATGTTTTTCATTTAGCAAATTTAAGGTCAAATTTATATACGCTTCTCTTATAAAATTTACAGAAAAATACGTCAAAACTTTAGACACTAGTTCCATTAGTGTAATTTTTGTTACAATGGTCTCCGCTACCTATTCGCTGCCCTATTTTTTTATTACTGTATTCGCTCTACAAATATCAACAAAATTGCATTTACCATTTAATTTATTTTCAAATCACTCTATAACTGGTACAATGATAAAAAACTGTAAACAAATGCTGGAATTTCTTGGACTTATAGTAACATTTTAATTTTGTAGTTAATCGTCATCACCAAGATAAACCTTTGACTTGCAAGTATATATAAAATTACCAGAAAGTACGGGGAACTACTACAGATGTAATTGAAATAATTTATTAATAAAATAAAATAAAAAGTTTTAAACAAAAGTGAGTATGTTTTTAACATAAATTATAACAAACATATTAATATAGTTGTTTCGCTCATGTGGCTCTTAATGTGTTCGTTTACGTGATATTGGATATCAACTGCGTTGCAAAGTAAACTTAATTTTGAGTAAGTAGGGCCCTTTATTTTTTGTTTTCAAACTAATATTGACATTTTTAATTGTGAAGACATAGTAATGAGAAAATTATATTAATTTTAGGTTTATTGGTATCATATTTCAATCTCAATTTGGCTTTATAGAGTCGAAGAATAATGTCAAATTGCTTGTTAAAATTTCATTAGCAGCAACATGTTTGTATAAATATTCCAATACTGATAATGTTGCATAAATTAATTGGTTTTTTTTTATAAGATACATATAATAGTCTGATATTCAAATAACTGAAATACAATTTGTATTTTCTGGATTGACACTTACTGAAAAGGTCTAGGAGATAGCATGCTAAAAGCCTAAAAGTCGATACTTGCGATATTATTATAAAAAAACGTGTTTTTCTTGTCATTAAAAATTCTTTAGGAAAATTGTATTTCTTTTTGTCGTAAAGTTACATGCAATGTGTTTGGAACAAATAGTTTTTAATACGAATATACATATTTTTGAAAGTTATTTAAAAATGGCCTAAGAATAAATCAATTTTATAGGTACCGAGATATTATATCACTAAAGGTAAAAATTACTTCAAAATAACTTTATTAATAACAATACGATATAAATATCTCCTCTTTTTTTGTCAAAAACGATTTTATTAATATTTTATTCAAATATATTATACACTAGCTTTTTATATCAGTTACACCAGACCACCTGTTAAATATTAATTGTAATCCTTATCAGGATTGAACAAGTAATGTAAACTAAGAATGATAACGAGTTTTTACAGTTAATAAACTTTTTTGTAAGTTTATATTCAACATTATAATGTAGAAAATTAAGAATTTGGTATTGATTGATATTAACTTGGACGTTAGAAACTAATAAAAATACTCTCTTGTTCATGATGGCTATAAAAAGTTGTTTAAGGTTTATTTTTGGTCGCTAGTGTCTGCATAACAAAATTCAGAAATTTTGAATTTGGATCACTAACTAATAAGTTTTGTCAAAAACGCCAAGACAGGTCAATATCTATTTCTTGAAATCCTTAATAATTCTGTTAAGTTTTACTTTCATTTGTTTTTGATAGTAATGCCAATTGTTTTTCAACAATTAGCAATTTTTTATTAGAATTCGATAAACCTTACCTGTCTGAATATATTCTAGAAAATAAATATTCTGCGTGGACTATAACCCCATCCAGCTTTTAATTACACCCCCAATATCTAATAAGTAGTTTAATGTTGCCTAGTGTGGCACTAATCATCTTTGCATAGTATATTTACAGATTGGTAGGTGGCTCTCTGTCAGTAGATATAAAACAATATTTTGGGCCAATAAGCATAGTATTATATAGGGTGATCCATTAACGGTACGGACCGATTGTATATAGGAAACTAAACGTGCTACGATTATGGGGTAAAAGATCTATTAACAAATACGGCCAAAAGAAATTGATTTAAAATATTTTCAACTTTGTAACTTCACCGCTAGGGGGTGCAATGCTACAGTGTTACAGAAAATTTGTCGTTTTTCGAAATTTCGCTTATATAACCCAAGTTGAAAATACACTTTTTAGATACACTGTTAAACCTTTCACAAGTATTACCGTAGCAACGCCAGTATGAAGGACGCCATCTTGAAATTTTTAAATTGTCATAACTGCTAAATGCCGTAATCGATTTCAAGAAACAATGACTCATTTTAAAGAGCTATTAATAATTAATAATAGCCTGCCTCGTTATGGAAACAATAATCTTTATAACTACTCAGATGTTTCGAACTAATAAAAAATTGAAACATTGCAGTTATCAAAAAAATTTCAAAATTTAGCAAATACTTTTTTAAAGACAAGCTTGGTATAGTTTTACAATTATTTATTTTTGGCTTGGACTATGTAAATGTTATTTAGAGAACTAAGTAAAGGAGAATATTCTAGCACAACTTATCTTAACAATAACTTGAAAACGAAAAAAAAAAAGATATCGACCTCCGATTTGTGTAGGTATTTGTTTTCCTAATAAATGTCTATCAAGCCATGATAAAAACCTATATCGTTGCATTTAATTTTTTTAGTAAACGGAGACAATTACATAACTTTTAAAAGTGTATTTTCAACTTGGCGAAATTTCGAAAAAACGACACTTTTCTGTAACACTGTAGCAGTTGCGCCCTCTGAAGTTACAAACTTGAAAATATTTTAAATCAATTTCTTTTGGCTGTATTTAATTTGTTATTAGATAATCGTCGCATGTCTAGTTTTCTATGTACAGTCGCTCCGTCCGTACCGATAATGGATCACCCTGTATATTTCACCCACAAATTCCAAAAGTAGGATTTGTTGCTTATTCTTTAGAAATTTTGAATTTTTATATTTTTTATAAGAATAAAATGGGGAGCTTCGTTTTAGAAAATCATAATTTTAATGAAAGGTACAACTGTAACAAATGTTTAAAAACATTAATTGACAATTAGAAAGAATTTATTCACTATTTAATGTAGGTAATGTCCAGCCGCAAATGATAATAATCAACTTTAACATTTTTTGTAAGTTTTGCTGTCAATGAATATTAGTAAACTTTTGATGAAATTTTCAATTAAAATGTTTCTTTTGAAACTCAGATTCCTATTTAATTCTCAAAAATTAGTTTTCTAGAGAAAATCACTCTTCTAAAAATTAAATAAATAAATAAAAGCCTATTAATCTAATCTAATCTATTAATCTAATATCTACTTTATTTGTTTTAATTTCATATTTAATATTCCTGATTTTGTTACACTCTTAATTAAATTTGTATAAAAACTACAGACTATCTTAATAAATTAAAGAAAAATAGTTAGTAAGTATGTAAACTTAAATTATTCAGATTCAGAAACTGTTATTTATTTCCAATCACATGATGAGTAGTAGCAGCTACTGTATTTTTGCAGTTTTCATTTTAATCATTCAAAATTATGTTTGGGCGATCCCGAGGAACATGCTATATGTTATATGTTGGACTTATGTCTCAATGACAAGATATTCGATTGTTTTTGCAAGACACGTATTCGCTGTGAGCAAGTAGGCAGAGGGGATGGTCACACATCTGCGAGCGCTATTAGCGTCAACTTAGTGAACTTAGGTCGGAAATTTAAAAGTCTTCTGTATAAGGATTTTTTTAAATGGGACACACAAGTTGTTGTATCAAAGATTGTAAAAATAACCGGTTACAATAGTGACTGTGTATTTTACAAATTCCCTAAAGCTACTCATAAACTGGGTCAACGACAAAAATGGATTGATGCAATTAGAAAATAGTATATTAAAGTATAAGTGGATATTTAGACTGGACGTTTTTTGGGTTCTTGATGTTGCCATGGTAACTTTAAAACACGCGCGTTTTTAAAAGTTGGGGGGCGTGCTTTAAATAAGCAAAATAAGGTACCAATAAAAAAAAGTAAGTAAATATAACTATCAATTTTAAAATAGACATTGATTGAAAATGTAAGTTGTGGCATGTGGATCAAATTTAATGTTTAAAATCTATCTAAATAATAATTAAAATTGTATGTTGTTGTAGGTACAGCATTTAATCATGGGCCAGGACGGTTACCTAAAAAAAGTCATGTAATTTGTAGTAGTCATTTGATGTTTGATTGAAATACTAATTTTTCCAAAACTAGAAAAATAAATAAATAAATAAAAAACATGCTATTTAGACCATACTTTTAAACATTTGTTTATTTATTGCAATTATAATTAAATTTTGGAGGGTAAATTTTCCTATTCTAATATTCGCAGTCAACATAATCACAAAAATGAAGTGCAAAATCCTAAAAATAATAATCAAATTGTTTACTTACTGATATTATTTATAGATTACGATCTAAAAGCTGTTTTACATTGACAATTTATTGATCAATTAATTCATGAAGTCGCTTCATCAAGAAATTGGACAACTGTAATGCACCAAATCAGCTGTCAAATAACTTCATCAATTTATTCATCAAGTTCTTGACGAATTAGAGCATGTTCTAATTTTGGTCAATTTCTTCGTGAAGTTCGGAAGTACCAACCCAACAGATTTCCAGCCTCAGATCAGTAATGAGGTTATGTTATTGGAATATGTAAATAATTGTGTGGCGTCGTGCTAGTTTTGCATTGTTTTTACTGATTTGTTACTTACAAAAACTAATATTTATATAATATGTGTCAGAACGGTACCGCTGTTGTATCACTACAATTATGAGTGGAAAGGTGACATTTTTGAAATTTATTTGCTTCTTTGATTCATTGGTAGAACTGATTCATACGTCAAAAAACTTGACAAAGTCTGTAGCAGTGTAAAACCACACTGTTTACCAATAAATTCGTGAATTAATTGATGAAGAATTTCGTCAATTTATTGATGAATAAATTGTCAATGTAAAAAAGCTATAATAACTTCTTTGTTACGTTAATTAAATAAAAAGTATTTACTATCATTTGTATTTGGCATATACTCTTTCAATTCTATGTCACTTTAAATTTCCGACAGAAGTTGTAGCTGTAAAACCGCTAGGTGGCGATACCAGCGAAGCTCACAGCGAATATTTTTTCTTGTAACATCCATGTGACATTTGAAGGTTGTAATATTCGTACATAAATGTTTAATCATATAATACTCATATTTATTATAGGTACGTCTTTGTAGATTTAATATTTTCGAAAGAGACTGACCTAGCATGTATTCCAATATTTTAATATTCATCCTGCTTATGTGGAATACTAAGGCAACTTTTCAAGCAGATTTTATTGTTTTTAGACAAAATGGTTTAATTAAGTCAAATATCATTAAAAGGGTAAGTGAAAATATTTTTTTATAAATATTCCCTTAAAAACTACACTTAACGTTTTTAGAATGTAGCTCCAGACGTTCCCAAAATCAGAGAATTTATTGTTAAAACATCTGTTGCCAATCGTTTTGCAGAGACAACCGTTCTGAGTAAAGTTGAAAATGTTGATAAGTATGCCAAACAAACAACGTTCTCTGTGGTATTACCCGAAAGAGCGTTTATTTCTGGTTTCTCTATGGAAATTGATGGAAAAACATACAAAGCTTTCGTTAAAGAGAAGGAAGAAGCTGAAAAAATATATGGACAGGTATGAATTAAGACATTTGCGATTTTGAAAAAATCTTATCAAATGAATTCAATGTTCTTCGATACCAGAAATCTAGATTCAATGCTGAAGCTGCTTGTGTGTTTTCTTCAAACCCAAGCAATTCATCCAACTTGGTACTGTTACTCATTGCATTAGAAGCTTCTTTTTTGATCTACCGTTACATGTCCATTTTTGTGAAATTGCGATATAGACGAGCAACTTCGACCTCTGATCCCATTCTATTTCCGTAACCAACCATCTTTATAATTATTATTTTATCTATATCCCATTTAAAAATTTAAGGGTTGCAGCTGCCACTGAATTTAGGGAAGAAATTTTTACGTTGCAGGGTGTCATTTCAGAAACTAAAATCGACGTGCTTCGGGAATTTTTATAAATAATTGAGATAGATACAAAATTTATTTCATTTGACTGTTTCACAATGTATAAATAAAATTATTAGTTTATCTGTAAAGACTTAGTATATATTATAAAGTGCAAAAGTGGCAAGTTTAGGCGAAATAATGTTTGTTTAAGAAAATAAATGATGTATTACAGTGCAAGAAAATTAATTATTGGTGATCAAATACAATAATCTTCAATACAATGTAAATACTTTTAATCAAATAGGTACTTAAATATCTCTTCGGTTAAAATATTATCAAATAATTTACAGATGTCAGGACCACTGATTACTAGATTTCAACTGTTTCTTATATTTTTTTGTATATAGGCTCATTATCGCTGCATGGTAAACTGGAAAATCTTAAAAATTATTATTACTATGATTATTTTTTTGCAGTTAAATAAGTAACAAAACCGAGAATGATTGGGTCAAATGTTTCCTTTTTTCGAATTTGAACTATTTTTAATAGTTACAATAGCGTCTGCAGTGGTGCAGGTACCAGGAGATGCTGTCATTAAAAATTAAAAAATTGTTGTCATTGAGTGTTTTGAAAATTCATTAGATTCCTAATTGTAGTTTAAAGAAAAAAGATTTCTTTCGATAATTTAAAATAATAATAATCATACAATTGAATAAGTCTAAAATATCTCTAAATGTTTAAAAATTGTTTACTCAAAATTTAATTTCAAATATAGCAACTGTCAAATGTCTGAGAAAATCATTTTAAATTTTTTAGGAGTTATTTCTTGAGTTGTTGTTGCAAGACGATTTGAAAATGTATTTTGAAAAGTAAATGAAATGTCACTATTGTTGTATTTCTTTAAGATTCTCATTACCCCACCCATGCAAATTATGAAAATTTACAACTCTGTTCCTTGTAAAACAAGATTTGTCGGTACAAAACAAATTCACGAAGCAAAGCCATTCACCAACCAGCGGCAAAATTGTAAACGTGCGTTGGGATCTAAATTTTCAAGTTCTTGAGCAGGAGTTAAATGAAATGGCCGAAGAAGTTGCGTTTTAAAAGTTTTGTGAACATTAGTTTTACATACATTTAATTGTCTTGTACATTGCGGACACTTCACAATAGAACTTTAAATGTAACTTTCAATCTCGAAAAAAGAAACAACGTAATTTTAATATATTTGTTTCACAGATTTTTTCATTTTACGTATAGTTACAATAATCCGTATTATACAAAAACAACAAATAAAACGACTTTTTGCCTGTGGGCTATGTGTCTAGTTCCTTGTCCTTGGGATTCAGTAGATCTCAAAACCAATATGTTTACCAATTTTCAATGCATGTTTATTTTTTATGGCAGACCCTGAAATTGTCACCTTTTTTTCAAAACATAAACAGATAAATTAAAAATTTACATTTTCTACCACTGCTTTTGTTGCGTTTTTGTAGCGATTAATAATATCTACATCATTAATTGTTTGTAAAATTTGATATTTTATAGCAACCAAATACACTGTGTGTTAATTTTCATTTAGAGGTTCTATTTCAATTTTACGTTCATATCCGTTCAGTAAAAATTAAATTATTTTTTGTACAAATTGCAACACCCTGTAAGTGATTTTATTTGGTCAAATTCCTTTTAAATTTTGTGTTTATTTTTAGTCTCTGACCAGTGGACAAACTGCAGCACACGTAGCTGTTAGTACTAGAAACTCCAACAGATTTACCGTAAACGTTAATGTGGAACCCGAAAGCAAAGTGAATTTTCACTTAACTTACGAAGAACTGTTGCAAAGAGAAAAGGGACAATACGAAGTAATTGCCAACATTCAGCCAGGGCAAATAGTCAAGAAGCTTATAGTTGAGGTAGTTATAGTCCTAAGTAGTTTAGAATTAACAGCCGTCGTCAGAAGTTTTCTATTACGATTTCACTATAACGTAGAAGCAATAACTAACTGATCAATATTTTACAAGTCACTTGTTGCACTTGTTTGCAGAGAAATTTAAAAAATAGAATATTTTATTTTGAATTTGTTGCATTGTAGTGCAGTTTTCTTTTGAACCAATGAAAATTAATAGGACTTTTATTACTAAAAAATTATAGTAAATAATGTTTTAAATTTATGGTAACGACTCGGTTAAAAATTTTAAGAAATAAAATGAAAAATCCAGTATCCAGATGAATTAGTAGTCAATTAAGTTATTCATAGTTATAGAAAACATTTTGGGATAAAAGATTTTAGTGAATCAAAATGTTTAAATTACTTGTTTTCAAGATACAAAGGGCGCTGAAGTTTTGAAAAATTGGGAGGCACATTTACATATTTCCGATATTGACAGAAATTACGTAAATGTTCGTTAGAACATTCATTGAGTGTCCAACCTACCAAAATTCATAATGATACGTTAACTGGTTTTGGAAATATTTTGAAAATATGATCTCCTGAGGCCCCTTATGAAGCGTTTTCGACCCTTGTTTATAGGAAAAAATAATCTTATTTTTGATCGTAGAACCTACTGCTAAAGTATTGCACACTAATTATGGGACACCCTGTATAAGATCAAAAAAAATTATATATTAATTACTTTTTACTTAACTAATTTATATTAAATCTAAAAATCTTCCTAATTAACATTAAATCCAGTTTTACGATAGTTATCTTCTATATTTATATATTATATTTATAATTATCTTCTATATTTATATACTTAGTATTTTTCGGGAAATAAATTATTATTATTATTATTATTATAAATATTATTATTATTATTAATATTA